TCTTCTGAGCCTCTTCATCTACATACTCTCTCTAGATAATTTCACTCCACCTCAAAATTTCTAAAATGATTTATATGCCGAAAACTCCCAAATTTGTACCTCTTGCCCTAAACTGTTCCAAGGTGGATAAGCCTATATCTGTCTACTCAACAATTCCATTTGAATGTCTAACAGGAGACATCTCAAACGCAATTCTTGATTGTTCCTATCCCAAATCATCTCCTCTTCTCCTATCTCAGTAATTAAACCACTTTCCAATTTGTTTTCTAGATGCAAATCTTAGGAGGAATCATTGATTCTCCTGTTTTTCTCATAGCCCATTTCCAATCCATCAGCCAATCCTACTATCATTATCTCCGAAATGTTAGGTTGAATTCTGTGAAATTTCCAGCAATTTCATAGGGCTCAACCTAATATATTCTAAATCTCTCCATCTCTTGGATTTTAAGTTGCCACTGTCTTTGGCCTAGGTTACTTCTAGAGACTCCAAAGGAACCTCCAGGCTCCCAATCTTCCCTATGGGCTATTCTCCCACAGCAGCCAGAGGAATCTTTAAAAACACAAATCACTGGACAGCCACAAGCAAAAGAAGGAAACTGAACCACTTTCTTACACCATACACAAAAATTAACTCAAAATAGATTAAAGACTTGAACATAAGACCTGAAACCATAAAACTCCTAAAAGAAAACATAGGTGGTAAGCTCGTTGACACAGGTCTTGGCCATGGTTTTTCAGATGTGACAACAAAAGCAAAAATAAACAAGTGGAACTGCATCAAACTAAAAAGCTTCTGCACAGTAAAGAAAATCATGAACAAAATGAAAAGGCAACCTACTGAATGGGAGAAATTTTTTGCAAATCATATATCTGCTAAGGGGTTAATATCTAAAATATATAAAGAACTCATAAAACTCAACAGTAAAAAAGAGAAACAATCCAATTTAAAAATGGGCAGAAGATCTGAATAGACATTTTCCAAAGAAGATATACAGATGACCAAGAGGTACATGAAAAGATGCTCAACATCATTAATCATCAGGGAAATGCAAACCAAAACCACAATGAGATATCACTTCACACCTGTTGGAATGTCTATTATCAAAAAGACAAGAGATAAGTGTTGGTGAGGATGTGGAGGAAAGGGAACCCTTGTGCACTGTTTGTGGGCATGTAAATTGGCACAGACACTATGGAAAACAGTATGCAGGTTCCTCAGAGAATTAAAAATAGAACTACCATATGATCCAGCAATTCCACTTCTAGGTATTTATCCAAAGAAAATGAAAACACTAATTTCAATAGATATCTGCACCACCATGTTCATTGCAGCATTATTTTCAACAGTCAAGACATGGAAACAAGCTAAGTGTCCATCGATGGGTGAATAAAGAAGATGTGGTACACAGATACAACAGAGTATTACTCAGCCATAAAAAAGAATGCAATCTGGCCATTTGTGACAACATGGAAGGACTTTGAGAGTATTATGCTAAGTCAAATAAGTCAGACAGAGAAAGGCAAATACTGTATGATCTCACTTATATGTGGAATCTAAAAAAAAACTAAAACCAAAAAACAAGCTCATAGATTCAGAAAGCAGATTGGTAGTTGCAGAGGCAGGAGGCGGGGAGTGGGCAAAATGGGTGAAGAGGGTCAAGAGGCACAAACTTCCACTTGTAAAATAAGTAAGTCATGGTGATGTAATGTACAGTATGGTGACTATAGTTAATAATATTGTATATTTGGAAGTTGCTAAGACAGTAGATCTTAAAAGTTCTCATCACAAGAAAAAAATTTTTTTTTGTAATAGTGTATGGTGATGGATGTTAACTAGACTTATTGTGGTGATCATTTCACAATATACACCAAGTATCAAATCATTACGTTATACAGCTTACACTAATATAATGTTATATATCAATTATATCTCAATAAAAAAAATCCATGAATCAATTTCTATCATTCTTCTGCTTTTAAATCTCCAATGGCTTTATAATGTGATTACAAAGAAGATCAAACTCAACATGTCTACTAGGCCTGCACAATTTGGCCCCAACCCAGTTCCTATCCCTTGTCCCGTCATTCACGAGGCTCCAGCCACACTGGCCTCTTTCTGTCCCTTAATCATACTAAATCCATTACTGTCTCAAGGACTTGACATTTGTTGTTTCCTCTCTGATAAACATTCTCCCCTTGGATTTTTGGCTGGATGGCTCCATTCCATTACTTAGTTTTCAGCTCAAATTTCACTTTCTCAGAGAGCGTTCCCCAGACCACTCAAGCAAAAGTACCCCTCCCCACTTCCCTATCAAATTGCTCCAATTCTGAAGAGCACTTACTACTACTGAAATCATCTTGTTTGTTTACTTGTTTATCATTTCATTTCTCCCACAGTACATTAGCTCCATGACAGCAGGAATCTAGTCTGTTGTGTTTACTGCTTTTTCTTAGTGCCTAGAACAAGGCCCAGCACTAAGCAGGCACTGGACAAACGTTTATGAATGATACGACGCATAACACATCATAAAGGAATGAATGCGTATTTTCTCAAAGCATCCTTTGCTCTCCTCTATCATAGCATTTATCACGCAACCTGTCCTATAGCTGTAGTAGACACTCAATAAATTGACAGCATCAATGAATGTCAAAAGAGCATTAAGAGAAATAGTAATTATGTTATAATACTTTTAAAATATTAAAAATACATTAATAATGAAAGATGTATTAAATAATAAAAACTCTTCAACATTTCATTTGTATGACCTACAACACATAGCAAAAAATTATAGAAAGAAAAATTGACTAACAATGAAGAGTAAGGAGAAACATAAAATTTACTTAGTAATCTCAGCACTCAATTTTTTTAAATATAACAATTAAACAGATATATTTTCCTAAGTTCTAATGTTGACTAATATGCTATGAAGAGGAAGAAGTGATTTCTTTATTCTCAGGTACTACCCGCTCCTCCATCATGCGGCTGTGGCATGCTGTGACCTTTGCCTGTTGACAGTCTTCCTCCTGTCTCTTCATACTGTCAATGCCTACTCATTCTTCAGATCTCAGATGAGCCTCACTTCCTTACAGAATTCTTCAATAGGTCAAAGAGCCACCTGATTATGAACTCTTGAGGAACAACGTGCTTCTCCTTCATAGGCTTGACATTCGTTTGTGAGATTATTTGATATAACAGTGGACTATACGCTTTACGAAGGCAGGGCCCATGTTTACCTTTATTTCCCACTGGATCCCCAGTACCTAGCACAAGGTCTGACATGGGAACATATCTATGGAAAGAGCAAATGAAAGAGAGGGAGTGGTCTTGTTTCTAAGGTCCTTCCTAATCCCAAGATTCTGTCCCACTGTAAATTAACTCAGTGGGATTTCTAGCACAGCTGAACTACACATTATGCCATTGAACCTGCTGCTTTTTCAGGGCTTGAAGACCCCGTTTCCCACTCCTATCTGCTCTCAATAGCAACTATTTCCTTAGTATAAAGGGAAGTTGGTTATTCAACTGGAAGAGGTGGGTGGCAGTCACCAGACTACAAACAAAATGGATGGCCTTGGAATAAAAGCTATTATTATTTAAGAAAGCATAAAATCTGATTAATAAAATCCTGTGAAAACAAAGTTCCTTTTCATGAGGTGACCTATGCGTGGAGGATTTAGAGAACATCTGGCACTCCTAGACCAACTGAGGCACAGCCGTGGCCAAGGAAGGCCAGGAGGCACGCGTGCTGCCCGGGCCACAGCCCGAGACTCACGGAGGCCAGGCTGACAGAAACACAGAGAAGGAAAGTCCTCATTGAGGGCTTGGTTTAGGATTGCCACATTTCAACAGACGCAACACAACTGTTTTATTTAACTGGGATAGCAAACAGGTAAGATTAGTTTATTAAAAATCATGTATAATAAATCTATTTCTCAGGAAAGGAACCAGCTCATTTGAAGCACACTGTATTTACATTAAAGATAATGCCATTTCACCCATCACTGTTTCAGTTTCTTCTTCTCTTAGATGCTATTAAGTCATTTTTAAACAATTATTTTATTGTTAATGAGATTATTCTAATGTCATTGAGAATGAGAATATTTTAAACTCAGAAGTATGTCTTAAATTCCTAAAATAAAAAGAAGCCCATGTATTCATTTAAATTTAAGAACACAGTAATGAGAAATGAGATTTGCTTTTTGTCTAACTTCTAAAATTGATCATAAAAGCATAATTTCTTAGTCACACTCTAGAATTTCCACATATTATTTGTTTCACTGATATGCTGGTATTTTCACAGACTCTGTGTTATAAAGTCCCTCATCACTCAACACATTCTAGTGTTTCTGACCTCAGTTTACAATTTCCAAAACTGAAATAGCTTAAAAAAAGTCCTGAAGAATACTTAAATTCCAAAATACTGACTCTAAAGTCCTCAAGAGAACAAAAGTAGGAAAATATAAGGTTTACAAATTAAAATAGGAGCCACTCTCCTCTGCTTTGTTCCCCATCTGAAGCCTCCCTCTCTTCTGATGTGGGATGTGGAGATGATGGTGACTGTCCTGGGAGGGAAATGACCTCCCGTCATCTCAGCTTCTTAGAGGGACTGCTGGAGCTAGGACCACACACACTGACTCCCACCAACCTCTGGGGACAGTCCTTCCCGAGTCCTTTCTTCTCTTGTCACGCTTTCCACTGGAAAAGGGCTACTCGGAGCCTTCAGCATGACAGGCACAACATTTGTGGGGAGGGCTCCTGTCCCTCTCAGAGGAGAGAGTCTTTCCAGAGGAGAGGCATGTCGTCTCTGGATACCTGTCCTTCTCTAGTATTTCCAGTGCTCAAATGCTCAAGTTTATACAGCTAAGAGGTCAGGCTGATTAAGTAAAGTACTTTGTTCTGCCCTAAGGGCAACAGTTTTGTTCACAAAAAGCAACACATGCCACACGCAGAGCTATCTGGGAAGTGTGCGGGTGGAAAAGCATCAGCAGTTTGCCTCCGTTACCTGAGTAGGACTCTGAAGACTCAAATCCAAACCGCAAGTAAACTCCGTGTGATGCTCCACTGTTTCAAGAAGAGGGTCAGGATTTGAAAAGTTCCAGAATCTGTGAACATAAACAAAAAGAAACAATTTAAGTGCCAAAACTACCAAAAATTTATCTAAGAAAAAAACAGATCTTTAACATAGCAAAGATTTTACCAAAACAGATTCAACCAATTCATAAATGCAGAGCCCCACTACTGATCCACATAAAAAATCTAATAAAGAAAAAAAAGTACTCCATTCTATTATATGTAAAAAACCAAAACAAAATAGATTAATCAATCTACTCTTGTAAGAGATTATTATATTCCCATTAGTAGACTTTGTAGGATGGAAGCTTAACAAGTTTGAGTAAAACATTTCTACATCGCACAAGCACATTGGAGATGAGAGACACTAACGCTTTTGCAGCAATTTCTAAAAGCATTCACGGCTGTAAAATTAGGATATTGGATTACGTGAACTCTAACATTTTATGATTTTAAATACTACTTCATTTCTCGAGGACTGACATGAAAAGATCTTAGGTTTAATTTACATTTCAACAGCAATTCAAATTCTTTAAAAAGCATCTGTTCTCTTTTGAAAATCTCTGTAATTCTGAAACTATCTTTTTATTTAAGGTACAGCCTTTCTTACAGAGTCCATGTCAATGTAATTTCTAGAGTCAAGAAAAATTGAAATATGTTTTCCTGGGCCCATATTAAGTAGTCTATTTATCCTCTATAGACTGGGAGTGGAAATACTTACCACAATATACCGCTGATTTCTATTGTACAGAGAAGAATACGGCTCTACTTTCAATACACAAAATAGTACTTTATTCTAAAGCTTTATTTGCTCATCATCTTCCTTATTTAACTCTAAACACACCATAAAATGAACACATTTGAAATCATAGAGTGATACCTCAATTCAGCTCCCTAATGATCCACAACATGCAACTCACCGAAGGTTTGGCAGATGTCTTTGAAAGAGAGTAAATACCCAGAACCAACAGTCAGAGTTTGTTTAACCTGGTCGTATTATTTCTCTAATAAATACAGAGTTGGTCTTATTAAGTTTGAAAAGGATTGTTGCTATGGATAATCCACTGTGTGGATACAGGGAGACAATGAATAAATAGCTCATTTATCAGATTACTGAAACCTGCAAAATACAGAAGGAGAGTGATTTTACTCTTGAAAATTTGCCTGTTCAAACAAGTGATGGAACCAGCTGCAGCCCTTCTCTGCATTACTAACAGGGGTCTCCACTGTCTTCACGTATTTGTTGTTTTGGGTCGAGCGACAGTGAACTGTACTGAAATCTAATTTTTTTATCTTGATAATGTTTACAAAAGCAAAAGTAAATATTTAACTGTGTAATTTCATTTCTAAAACATAGTTATTCACCGATTTGCATTATTTGAAACAATAATCAAATGATTTTGTATATACCCATTATGTTTCAAAATATATTCAAATGGTTTTAAAAATATGCATTTAATATGGCAAAAAAAAAAATGAGCTAAAGGGACAGTGAGGGTAGGAAAGGAGACTGTAAGCAGACTAGATCCCAGGAAACTGTACACACTTGACAGGGAGATCTGGAGATGCTGAGCTTTCCAGCAGCCAAAGGAAAAAGGGCCCTGAATTCCTAGTGTCTACTATCAAAGTGCTCTTGGAAATCTCAGAGGGAAATTCCCCCTGGGAGTTTGTGGAGAAGAAACCCCACACCTATGTAATGAAGAGCATCCTCACGTGTCTTCAGGAAACACAGAGATGCTGTTTCTCAGGCTGCTCCTCAGGAGTCAAAGGTGTCACCCCAAAGGGCAACCTGGTGGAATCATTCCACAGGAAGGTCAAGTTAATCCCAGTATTCGGCTCTCTGACCTCATTTGGAATACAGATTTTATTTCAATAGAATGGAGGGGCTAAACAGTCCTTAGACAAACCATAAAAATTGGTTTCTTTCAGTAGAACTTTTTAAGGATGACAAAAAGCAACAAGGGTTCGTTTCTACCCTCCTGACAAGTTCCTGGAAGGCAGTTTTTGTTGTTCTGTTGTCGTAAGGCAGGTCAGGCTAAGGCTGCACCGAGGACAAGACAGGCAGGCCCGATGAGGACATGCACGTGAAAGCAGCCTACTGCAGCTTGAAAGAGGGAGAAGGGAGGTCACACGTGCGGGAGGGCTGAGATTCTACTCTGAGTTGCTCCGCGGGTAGTCAAGGTCCCACCCAGCTCCACACCACAGGTCACGCCTGCCATACACTGCCATAACCTTAGCCTGGGAAACACGACCAAGTATTTACCCGCATCCTACAAACAGTGCATCAGACAAAACGCATGCTAAAACTCTAAGGGTCCTACTTGGCAAAGGGACGTTTGGTCTAGCGAGTGACACAGAAGTGCTCTTGGCTACCACACCGTTTCACAGCTCTGACGGAAAGCGTGTAACATGCCAAGTGTACGTTACGGTGCAAACATGATGAGAGGTTCACTCCCAGCAGGATGGCTGACTAGGTACCTAGACCAGCATTCCTACTGGAAAAACCTGAAAATCCTAGATGACACATAAAAATAACCACCACCACAAAAACTTGATGAAAGTATCAGTGATGAACTCTCAGGAAAAAACTATGCTTAAATGGAAACCCAGAGCAGTGCACACAACAAGGAAGCCAGCTTCTGCCTTGAGAGGATCTGCTGAATAGGGGGAGCCCAAGCTTCAGTTTTCTTAACCTCAAGGGGATCAGGACCCAGGAAAGTCAGAAAAATTAATATTAATCATTTAAAAATAATTTTCAGTAAACTAAAATATCTTATCAAAAATATCAAGTTAAGGGGGCTGGCCCCGTGGCGTCATGGTTAGGTTCATGTGCTCTGCTCTGGTGGTCCAGATTCACAGGTTCAGATCCTGGGTGGGGACCTACAGACCACTCGTCAGCCATGCTACGGTGGCATCCCACATGTAAAGTGGAGGAAGACTGTCCCAAATGTTAGCTCAGGGCAAATCTTCCTCAGCAAAGAAAAAAAAGAAAAGAAAAGAAAATCAAGTTAAATATAGTGAACTTTACAACGTAAATAAGTTTAGAAAACCAAAAGCTAAGCAATGTGTCTATACACTATAATTTATTTTTAAGCACTAATGGCTTTCTTAATAACAAAAGAATATATGTATTTCTTGCCTCATTCCCACTCTAACAGCAACTATTGTTAACAGTTTGATGTGTACATTTCCAGAATTTTTCTACATATCTTCACTCAAGTTCCAGCAAGAAGGGGTGAGTTGTAAGAAGGAAGTGAGCGTTTCTCCAGGTTTTCTCATGCTTGCAGTTAATAAAGTGGGCAAGCCTCTCTGCAATCTTCTTCTGGACGCGAGGAGCCCATAATGTGCCCATCACACAAGTAAAGTGGGCTCCTCTCTATTGGGAGAAGTCAGGCTACATACATCATTAAGTAGTCAAATAAGACATATTATTTTTAAGTGAAATGTTTGTTTTGGTCCAGCACATATTCTACTTGGTGCCTTTTTGTCTCTTTGCTGATGAAATCATTGACTATTTAAGCTCTCTCATGGGAAGTAAATATACTGCACAGGCCTCCGATGATTAAAAATATTACAGAACCGTAGGAACATTTTTCATTTAAATGGGAGATGGAGAGAGAGAGAAAAATCCATCATGATACAACTCCTTGGTTGAGTCCCTTTTTGCCTTCTGACTCCACAATTCTTTAACAAAGCAAGAATGTGGCACTGTGTTCAATAAAACAACAAAACTATTTCAAAAATTAAGCTGAAATCACTTTTTACTTTACTAAAGTGTAATTTTAAATCTCTATGGTAACATTTTTGAATTTTAGCCAATAGACGAATTCAGCAGAAGGTTTAAAATATTTTTCAAAGTTCTTCCCTTTCCCTTCCCGTTCTCCACTTAGGAGTTAGTCATTAATTCTTGGTGAGTCTCTCCTAACTACAAGAAAAAGACAGGGAAATGTTTTGGCTACTTTTTGACGCTCTCCGCGCACATTACTTTGGTGGTGCGGGTTTGCCGCTGTTCACACTGCCCAGTGAACTTTTCAGGGCCCACAGGCAGTTAGGTCCTCCCGTAGTGCCTTGTGGTCATCCTGTGTTTTTAAAATTTTAACCAAATTGCACCATCATAATTCCCTCTGTTTGCACTGCTTGGTCTCCAGTGTGATAAGCAAAAAATGTCACCAGAGCTTCTTGTCATCTGATTACTCGTCTCTTCACCAGTCTGAGTGCTGGCAGAGCAGGCACCGTGCTGAGCACCAGAAGCGGGAGACCGGATCAGCCCTCTGGCAGCTCACAGCTCGGTGGGACAGATGGATGACTTTAAAAATCACAAAAATACAAACTTCCTTCAACGGACAAGAGCCTGAAAAGACAATGCAGGGCGATGTAAGAATGACGCCCTGAGGACGTGACAGCGAGCTGAAACCTGAGGGGTGAGGACTTAGACTGGTGGAGAACAAAGATGGCAGCTTACCCCTGTCGGCTGGGAGACGGACAGTGTGACAGACAGGCTGTGACGGTGTGACAGAGGGGAGCCTGACAGTGTGACAGAGGGGAGCCCAACGGAGTGACAGAGGGGAGCCCAACAGAGCGACAGAGGGGAGCCCGACAGAGCGACAGAGAGCATGACGGTGTGACAGAGAGGAGCCCGATGGAGAGACAGAGAGGAGCCCGACGGTGTGACAGAGGGCCCCATGGCTGGGGCAGGGGAAGGCGAAGCAGGGCCGGTCACACAGGTTTATAGGCGATGTGAAGAATTTGGAATTTTCTCTTGTTTAAAATACACATAGACACACACAAACATACGCTATGAATGGTCTAAGCAGCAGATTTATATAGTCAGCTTTGCCTTCTTTAAAAAATTTTTTTAAATAAACTTCGTTAATTTTGAGTAGTTTTAAATTTATCGAAAAAACCTGTGAAGGCAGCACAGAGAATTCCCGTACAGTATGACCTCATGCGGTGCGGCGAGCTTTGCCTGTTGAAGGTGTCCCGGGCCCCTGTGAGGAGAATGAACTCGAGGGCTCAAGAGCGGGGTGGAGCG